TAGTCTGCTCCTTGGTGCCTGGAAATACCTGAAACTGCAAATTCTAACTTTAAAGCTGAGCTTATTAATCAATTCTGTGCAGAAATATGTACAACATATGTTGCCATTTCGGACTGAACAATTACCGTGTTTGTTTGCCGGCAAAAGAAATTTCATTCGACCTTCAGCCATGACAAGTAGCCTATAAACTATCACACATCCGAGAGAACATGGCTGTACCGGCTGGTGAGCTACCAGTGCAGTTGTTGAAGGAGTTTTGTGTCGAATTGGCACCACCTCTCACCCATACATTTTCTCGATCACTTAAGGAGGGCCAAGTCCCACCAGTTTGGAAGAGGGCAGCCATCATTCCAGTTCCTAAAAACAACACCGAAGTCGACAGGAGACCTGCCGCCTGTGGGTCTTACACCTACGTTTGGCAAACTTTTGGAACAGCTCGATGTCCATCTCATTCTGGCAGGCATAAGGCCGCAAATAGACAAACGCCAATACGGTGATGAAAAGGACGCCTCAACGTCCCACTTCTTGATAAGATTACTGCACAACTTTCTGAGTTGGATAAGACAGACAAGTTCTTCTCTGTAGTTCTGCGTGATTTCAAGAAGCGATTTGGCCTCATTGACCATACAACGGTAATGCAACATATGCCCACCATGGGGTTCCGCTCTGACTATGCCAAGTGGTTGACCTCATTTCTCCAGGACCGAAAGCAGTGGGTAAAGATGCCAGATGGAACGGTTAGTGGTTTGAAATCGATGACATGCGGCACTCCGCAGGGCACCCTGCTTGGACCGGTTGCATTCTTAGATATGATCAACGATGCCGCTTCTGAGACAGACCATCGTTTGAAACATGTAGATAATTTATAAATATACGAAGCATGTGCAATTGACCGAACAGACGAACGCAGTCGACTGCAAGACAAACCTGACAAGATATGTGGATGGGACAGCTGCAAATTCATGATATTTAGTACTGAGAAGTGTCAGGTGATGTACAGTTTTTACTGCCAAGAAGCCCCTGATATTCGCGGACGTCGCAATAAATAGAATCACCTTACCGCTTGTTAGCAGAGCCAACTTTTTAGGAGCAACATTATACAAGCGATATGACTTGGCAGGCACATGATTAAATTGTTTAGAGGGTCGAAGGCTTTATATATGCTTCACGTTATGAAGAAACTCCGTCCGCCACGAGATCAAGTGGTCAAAAATTTACATGACATATGTTCGACCACTGCTTAAATACTCTGCGAATGTTTTTCATCCCGGGCTCACCGGCCAGCAAGCCGACAAATTGAGTGAGTACAGAAGCGGGCTCCCAAAATCATTGCCGGGTATGACAAAGTTATCAACGACTTCTACAGATTCTGGAAATGGAAAACACTTGCAGACAGGGAGGGAGACGCTGTGCATACGGTTTTGGACAGCAAATCCTCAGATCTCCAGAGCACACAGACATGCTCCCACCAAAAAGAGAGGCAATCTCGGGAAGGACCACTCCATATGGTGGAAAGCTGAAGGCATTTTGTAGCGGCGCAAGGCTGCGAAAATCAAGCGTGCCATATATCACAACTCTCGTGAACATGAATATCATTGCATCTAGTTGAGGGGTAAGCCTCCACCACACTCGCCACTGCATTCGTAAAGACGTTCATTGAATGTTAAAAGCAGGGGTGGTAGAACCTGCCATCTTGGTGGATGAGGTCGGCGACAAAAATGCATACATTCACAAGAAGCTTCGTGCCAAAAATGTGTTTTTAACAGCAGCATACTATGCAAAACATAACATAGAGGTCTCGATACGTAGATGTTATGCCTCCATGGTAATACATTTTGTCACACGACACAAGCAAACGTTTCTGTAGAGATTCTTTACCGTACGCTATGGCACCCTGAGCATCTTTCCTAGGTTTCATTCAACCCGGCGACAAAAATATCCTATGTTCTTAGTTGGTCGGCCGACTCGGTGACAGCCGGCGGCAAATCAATGTATTTCCTATGGCCCGGCCGGTCAGCCGGTTCGCTGTTTTTAACAGCCGACTCTCAGTGTCCCAAACTAGACAGTATAAAGCACTGAAACGGATCTAGATATGGGGATTCATCTGTCCGCAAGGGCGTGTTTCAAGTGTTGCGACGTGACTGACATGAGGTGAGCTGTCACTTTCATTGCACTGCAACTTTGCAAGTAGGGCTTCGCATTGCAGTGTCATGAATACCTGCCTAGGGTTTAATTTCTTGCCTTGTTTACTTCGTTGGCTGTGCCGTGATTCAGCATCCTGTCTTCAGCGACGAGAGGTATTGACAGTTCAGGTAAGTCAGTGGGATGACCCGATCAAGGTAGAAATTGTCCTGTGATTATCCAAAACGCCTTTTCAAGACACCGAAAGGGCTGTTGATTCTTTGAAACAGTCAAAAGCGGCCAGCCTTCTTCCCTTTCGAAGAATCGTGGATTTGATGTTGAAGTCTGATCGCACTGCTCATGAAGGGGAATAGCAGGAGGTGATATTGAATATGAGATACCAATTTATGACATTTTTGCGCTTGCCCTGATTGAGAATGGTTACCAGTCACATATATCTTTAAATCAGGAGTGTTCCTACTTCTTATCTAGTTCAGGGCTCCCCCCAGGTTTGTGAGCAGGTGTGCCAATCTGGAAGGCATCTATATTTTTTTGGGGGGGGGGGACATTGCATAACCTTTCACTGATCCCAAAGCTATCTTCATAAACTATGACCCTCCCTGCAATGGCTTTTAAGCAATTCTCATCATTTCAACCTTTTGCTAACAGGAACCTTGGTTGCTGGAAATCAACATGATACCAAATGATGTAGGCCATGGTAAAGCAATGGAAGTGAGAAGTGGAGTGGTGTAGGAAATGTAGGCAATGAGGAGGGGGGAGGTGGATGCATCATTACCATCTCCCTTTACCGAGAGTTTTACGTCAAATAGCCGGTGGTCTTATGGTACTGTGGTCCAACTGTCCTATGAAGTCAGTGAAAGGCTCGTATTTGGTTGTCTCTGAAGACAATGTTGGCTATTTCCTGATGATAGCACCCATAGATCATAGTTCCCGCATGCAAGCCGCATTCATAAGAATATGAAAACTCAATGGCTGGAATACGGCGATTTTTGGTGGATGGAGCCCTGCACTATAAGGAACTCACAAAGAAGTCTTCTCCAGTTTTCTAGTATTTTTGCGGTGCAGATGTGTGGAAATTCGGCTACCGTGGGAGTGTCCTGCTTCCGATCACTCCCATATGGTGTCTTGTTAGATCTGGCCGTTGCTTTTGCTCTAATCGCGCAAAGCGCCTCAATAATGGTGTAGAACTTGCAGAACTCGCATGGGTATATGACTGGCACTGGCTATTCTATATTCCTGGATCTTCATTTCATTTCGGCACCTGAACACCTAAAATCAGAGCATAAAACACAAGCATGCAATACAAGGTTTTCATTGGACAGCATTCACTGCCGTTTTGACCTGGCAACAACAGACAATTCTTTAGTCGTGCAGAAGACATTAGCACGGCACACTGTCAATACCAATGGATGCAGCAAATCACAACACCGCATGCCAATCGTCCAATACCCGCGCCATTCATCAGTGCCTTGCTCCTCATCTCAGTGATTTATTTGTGGTGCTGCTTCAAAGGCACTGTTACGTCCGCGCGGGCGAATGTCACTCGGGGTTTGATCCGCTATCAACAAATACGATTGATGTTTTATGTTTCAAACCCCACACGCGCACGACTCAGAATCTTGACGGCAACTGTATTTCTGTGCAGCCACACAAAATAAACAAAATAACGAGCTACCAAATCCCTGCATCACTTTCCCTGTATGACGGGAAGTGATGCAAATACATTGCATCCCAACACCTCCCCAAGACGCTTGCGGAAGGCGATGACGCCAGACGTCTAACGTAGGTCCAAGGTTAACACATGGGTGTGACTTAACGCCCGACTGGAAAGATAACTCCAGGCTGAACGAGCTCATGCTGCGGCAAAACCAGAAACACACAAGGGCTGCGGCTGATACGTGGAAGGGGCGAGGGGAGGGGGCGTTCACACATGCGTGTAATGTCGAGTCTGACCACCTGATGGATAGACGCTGTGGTTGGCAGCGGATCCTCAGCTCCCGCTGGGGCGGGGGCGGGGGCTGCGGTGACGCCACAGGCGCCGGGTCCGTGATGGGCGTGATGTCAGACGCAACGCACGCCTGGTCGCCGGCCAGGCTGGGCGGCGAGTCGGCGGCGACGTCTGGAGACCCAGCCGTGCTCGACACCGGGTCTGGCCACCGGACAGACAGCTGCCGAGTGGGTCGAGGGAACGGAGCTGAGGTGGCGGCGACAATACAGGCGCCGGCGCGGTGTTGGCGGGTGTGTCAGCCGCGGGTCGTCGCAGGCCGCCGGCCAAGCTGGGCGGCGCGCTGCCATTGGCGACCTCTGGCTCGGCGGTGCTCGGCGCTGAGCGGGTCCTCGTCTCCGGCGTCATCGGGGCAGGTCAGGTGCTCACTGGGCACGGCGCCGGCGGCGCCATTATTTGGTCCATCCACTCCGTGATTCTGACTGTCGCTGGTCGTCGCGCTGTCCTGACTGCCGGCGCTGGCGATCAGGGGTTGAAGCGGGCGGAGGAACCGACAATTCAGCCAGAAGAATGCGGGGCCGCTCGGTAGCTGGGACGAGGTAGTCACGCCACGATCCGACGCCGGTGACGGTGCCGGTGCGGTCCCACAGATGAGAGGTCGGATCCTGGATGAGGACGCGCTGTCTGACCCGCAGCGGGCGGTGACGCCTCGCCGACTCGTCATACCGCTCTACGGAGCGCTCCAGAAGCTTTGCCGCCTTCGCATCGCAGTCGTACGCGGCCTCCTACCAGCATTGAGCGAACGCGTGGTGGTGTACCGGCACCGCTGAGCGCAACGGGTGACCGTAAAAGATCTGCGCTGGAGATCGGTCGTGTTCAGATCTCCGCCGGCGGTGGTTTTCTGCACGAGCCATTAGACGGCCTTGACGGCCGCCTCCGCGTGCCCGTTGGACTGCGGGTAGTGAGGTGTTGACTGTTGATGGTCCCCACCCCACCGGCGGAAGAACTCACGGGTGAGCCGGGCGCTAAACTGGGGCCCTCCGTCGGTCCTGATGTAGGCCGGTAAGCCGGTGGCGGCGAACATGCCGCGTAGGCTGCTCACCAGGTCTCTGGCTGACGCCTCTCCAGTTACCCGTGACACGAATGGCCAGCCAGAGAGGCGGTCAACGTAGACCAGGAAGGTCCGTCCGGCCCAGGCGAAGTAGTCCGCGGAGACGGCTTCGAACACTCGCGAGGGTGCCTTCCCTGTCATCATGGGTTCTTTCTGCTGACTGGGCAGGTGCAGTTGACATTTGCTACAGGTGCCGATGCAATTCGTGATGTCCTGGTCCACCCGGGGCCAGTACACCGCCTGCCGTGCCCGCCTCTTGGTTCGCTCGACGCCCTGGCGGCTGGCGTGAAGTTTCTGGAGAGTAGCGCGACGGAGGCACTGCGGTACTACCAACCGCCGGCCGCACACCACCAGGCCGTCATCCACCGCCAGACAGTCTCGGAGGCCCCAGTAGGGGCCCAGCAGCGGCTCCAGCTGCGTCCGATGCTCTGGAAAACCGGTCAAGATGGCATCTTTCAAAGCGACCATCTCCGGGTCCTTCTCGGCGACGGCGCGGAGTTCCGACAGCGTGACGTCCCGCAGCGGCCTGGCGCCACCGTCGGTGTCGGTGACGTCACTAACGAGCCTGGCGACCATGCTGGCGATCTGGTGACTGCCGTCTTGTTCCGCTTCCTCGTCGTCAGGCGTTGGGTCATGCACGGGCGCCCGAGACAGCGCGTCTGGGATGGCGTGCAGCTTTCCCTGCCGCCAGGTGGCGACGAAGTTGAACTGGCCGAGTCGCTCCCGGAGACGCTGCAGGCGAGGTTTCTCGATGTCCACCATGCTTTTCGAGTTGAGAATGAGGATCAACGGCCGATAATCCGTCATCACCTCGAACTGCTGCATACCGCTGATATATGTGCTGCATTTTCGGTACGCCCACGCCAGGGTCAGCAGCTCGTGTTCAATCACTGCGTAGCGTGACTCCGTCTCCGACAGGAACCAAGATCCGCACCTGGATCAGGCGCCACCGGCCAGCCCTGTCCAGCTGACGGAGACAGAAAACCGAGACCGCCGGCGCCGGCTGCGTCAGTCTCCTGCACCGCCCGTCGCAGCGGATTGAAAAACTCCAGCACGGGAGGCGACAGCAGCGCCATCTTCGCGGCGGCGAACGCCTGATCGTGGGCCGGCGTCCACAGCCAGGCGTTCCGCGGCCGCTGCAGGCTGACGGAGCGGTTCAGCGGCCGCGGCGACATGAGAGGAGAAGGACCCCAGTTGGTCGACTATGCCGAGGAATGATCTTAGGTTGGTGATGCTGCTGGGCTTCGGGAGACGAGTTGATGGCTCGAATCTTCTTATCGTCAGCGGTATAGCCAGTCGAGCTGATGTTGTAGCCGTAGAATTCTACTTCCGCCTCCGCGAAGCAGCACTTTTTCCGGGTTCAGGGTGATCCCATGCTCTTCACACCGCCGAAATATTTTGGGCGGACATGCGCCACAACGGGCTTCATACTCAGAGTCATAGGCGAACACATCGTCCACCACTTCGCAGGTGTTCGGGATGTCTCCCAGGGCGGCATCGCCGTGCTGGTTGTACACATCGCCTGAGCTGACGATGCCCGTCCGGGGCCCTCTTGTACCTGAACCTGCCCCACGGCGTGATGAAGCACGTCAGATCTTGATCCTTCCTCTCTGATTGGGATCTGGTGGTAGCCGGCCTTACTGTCCAGCTTGGTGAGGACGGTCGCGCCGGGCGTGACTGCTGCCACCAGCGTCCTGCGGCGAGCGGACTGGGTGGGGCCGGCCTCTTCACGAATCGATTCAGCTTCGTAAAATCGACCATGAGGCGGCAGCCTAACACTGCACCAGCTGGCGGCCGCTTCGCCACTGGGACGATGGGGGTGGACACCACGGCGTGGGGTGCTCGACGGGCTCTATGATGTCCTTGCTGAGGAGGTCGTCCAAATGCTCTCTGACATCCTGTCCTCCAGCAGAACGGAATGTTCCTCGCTGTCGAAAGCGCACGGGGGACGCGGCATCTCTGTCAGCTGTCGATTCGCATAATCTCTCCCACCATCTTCCGCAGAGGTGATTGTGCTTCAAACTGTGCTTCAAACTGATGTTTCCACTGCTGTGCCGAGCGGGCGCCACCGGTGCTCTTCTGTGCCGGGCCGTCGCCGCCGGTTCTCTGCCTGTCGGGGCGGCGCCGCCGGTCCCAGCGAGGGCGCTCCGGCCTGTGTTATGGGCGGTTCCATCATCCGTGGTCTGAGGGCGAAACTGGCTTCTCGCTGCTTCGACGCAGCCTCTTGCGCGGCGCCGTGCGCCCGCCGCACTGACAACCGTCGGCCCTGTCTCGGCAGTGGTAACGCTGAGCTGGCCGCGCCGCTGTCCGGGACAGACGTGATCCCAGGGCGCCGGCACCCGGCGGCCGGCGGAGAGCGCGCCGCGGGTGGTGACACAGCGGTGACATGCTGATCCGGCGTCGGCCAGCGCGGCGGGCCGCTGCTGACCTGTCGAATCTGCTGCCGGGGAAGCTCGGGAGGAGTGTGCCGAGCTCCATGCAGTCGTGTCAGAACAGCAGAGGGCGTGCATACCGAGCTCCATGCAGTCGTGTCAGGACAGCAGAGGGCTGTGCAGACCGCGAATCACGGACACATCCACTGTGCTGACGACGTCACCCAGCTGCAGTGTGACGCTGCCGGTGCCGACGCACTCCATTTCCCGGTTGTCGGCGTTCAGCAGACAGGTGACTGGCGGCTGAAGGTCTTCACCACACAGGCCCATCTTTTCCGCGCTGCGAAGCGATAGCGCTGAAGTATCAGCTCCTGTGTCCGGTGTCCATTCCGCCTCCGACGCGCCGCCGTCCGCGCGGCGCAGCTGCAGGCGAACACGCGGGGTCCGATGGGCCATGTGTCCTTGTTGCAGCACGTCAGCTACGTGTTCCGTGCGTGGGATGGACGGCTCGCGCTCCGAGCTCACTTGATGCGTGCGCCACCAGCGACAGGCCGCCGGCGACCGCCCGTCGACCTTGTACGACCACGCGTCGATGTCGACGGACCGCCCTCACGGCCGGCCCCGGTGGGACACAACAGCGTGAAGTGTCCCACTTGACCGCAGGAATGGCATCTCCAGGACGCCGCCGGCGTGCAACGTTGCACAAAACGCCGGCATGGGGCTGCGCACCGCACTTCCGACATGTCGGCCCGGCCCGGCTGTCTGTGCCCGAACGCTGGGGATGCGGCTGCCGGGGCTGACCGCTCGGCTGCGCGACCGGCGGGTAGCTTCAAGACCATTGAAACCGCCGCCGAGCCGCCTAGTCGCCGTGCTGCTGTTCGCTGCATTTTCCGACGCCCGGCATATGTCGACGGCCTTGCGCAACGTCAGGTCGGGCACCTCCAGCATGCGGCGGCGAGTCTCGTCGTCGTTCGTGCCGACCACCAGCCGGTCGCGCAGACGATCGTCGTAGCAGTGCTGGTCACAGATCACAAAACGCAGCGATCTCCCCCGGAGGGCGCACAAATATTCGTCCACCGCCTCTCCGCGCTCCTGCACTCGGTATCGAAATCCTGGCGGTCCAACACAGGATTTCGTTGCCGGCCGCGATGCGCGAGCATTGCGGTGATAATCACATCAATGTCCTCCTCGGTCGTCGATATGGGCAGACTGAAACGCACGACTCTCAGCCAATTGTCGTCCAGTGATGTCAGCAGCGTGGCCCTCTGCTCGGCGGGCGGCAGCCCGACAGGCGCCCGGAGACGCGGAACTCCTGGAACCGGTAGCGCCATACATCAAAGTCCCGCAGGGATGCAGAGGGCGGCAGCCGCGGCGCAGAAACAGTCGATCGCACCGCGCGGCGGACCACCGCTGGCTGTTTCATTCGTGGCGCGTAGAGTCACCTGGCTCGCTGGCTGCGCGGTGGCTATCCCCGGTGACATGAGTCGCGTCATTAGCTCTGTCGTCTGCTGCTGTTGCTGCATGACCAGCTGTGTCAGCATATCAACTGTGGACGTCTTGGTGTTCCTTCGCGGCGGCCTGCATGGGCTGTAAAACCGCTTGACGGCGCCTGCGTCGCCGCTGCCGCCGCCGCCACGTGCGCTGCTGTCGGCTCGGCGCCCGGCGGATGCTGTGCCGCCGTAATGGGGCTATCCAGCGCACGATCGTGGTCCTGCCGACTGCGCCATGTTATGCCCGCGCGGGCGAGTGTCTCGGGTTCGACCCGCGTATCAACAAATACGATTTATGCTTTATGTTGTTCAGGCCCCAGACGCGCACGACCCGGAATCTTGACGGCAACTGCATTTCTGTGCTGCCACACAAGATAAACAAAAACAACGAGTTCCCAAATCCCTGCATCACTTTCCCTGTATGAAGGGAAGTGATGCAGATGCAGTGCATCCCAACAGACATAACTCAATAGTTTGATTTGTTTGTTTGCTTGGAAGTCTACTGTGGTCACGAATGAGTCATGCATACAGAATGTTGAGTTTTGTTTTGTTTCTTGTGTAGATGATAGAATACCTGTGTTTTGTGTAAGCGTTTGGCGCGAGAAGAGAGTACTGTGCTCGGGCTGTACGTGAGTCCTTGGCGCCCCTTCCATGAGGTGCGCCGTGAGACGTCGGAACAAAAATGTTGTAGTTACACCACTGTAGGATACGGAGCCTTGCAGCGACATCTGGCAGCAGTCAACAGAATGGTGGAAATGACCACGCGTCGGGAATCAGTTCTTTCCAACGCTTTATCAGTTGGTATGCGTGTAAAAGGTGTCCCCTTGCCGGATGTTTCACTAGTGCAATTTATAGAATGGTAGTCGGGACGGATTACGACGAGCCGTGATGGGAAGGCGCAATGGTGTAATCTCTTGCTCGTAATGCTGCAAACTGCTAATTTCCGTTCAAGGAATCATGTTGTCAGCCAACTGAACTACATTGGTAAAACGCTCTGGTCAGCAGCTGAAGGCCATTCCCGTTCCATCCTGTGGTCCACAGCGGTTTTTATTCTGGTGATAGCCCCCCGCCAGACCGTACGGAGGACGCTCTGAAGGATGCATCACAACCGGTCCTCTCCTCGATGCGGCTGGCCCTCTGACTGAGACATCCAGCAGCGGATCGGCGCAGGGGCCCTATATATACGTAATATATATATATATAGATATATATATATATATATTATATATAATATATACATATATATATATATATATATGTATATATATACATATATCTTAACCAACTTATGCGAATCAGATTGTTATTTACATGTGTTTTGTTAAAGAATCGCAAGCAAAGCGTGCCACAACACGCAACTCACATTCCTACTGTGACAGTCCCAGCTAACGACCTATGTGCAGCAGTATCTGCCCATGTTGAAGCAGTGGCAAGCGAACTGGGGTGCACGTGCTGCCAATAAACTGAAAGAGATTTAGCCCCGGCTGGGGTCATGGGCGTCCAGTTGTCATATGAGGCGGGATGAAGTGACGCTATGTCGCCTGAGAATAGGTCATAGATACGCAACTCACCGATACCTGTTACGTGGGGAAGACCAACCGCGATGTCCTTGCTGTGGGGATCGTTACGCCGTACTATATGTCCTGATAGGTTGCGCCCACCTCGCAACGGAACGCGTGCGCCATTTTGGATCGGAGTCCGTGTGCAAAACGCTCCATGCTATGTTGGGAGACGACTCGAGTTTAGTAACTGACGGTCACATTTTTTGTTATCTTTAGCATGTACAATTCCATGCCATATATCGGACGAGCCTACAGCCTTCTCCTCGCTTTTTTCACGCATCTGTTAGACAAAAAGTAGGTTATGGGTGCCATTTGACCAACGTAGTCGGTGCACCTCAAAGCCCAAATCATCATCATCATTTTAAAGACCACAGCGGTCTTAGTATTGATGACCTTTTTGG